ACAAGAGATGATGAAAATGGTGGTTTTTATCTTCTAGACATTTATTAGTTTAGCGAACTACTGCTTGGGCAATGTTGGCCAAAGTGTTCAGTGGGATTCCTGCACATGCATTTTCAATTTTTTGTCTAAGGACTGTCAATGTAGTCAGTTTTCTGTGACACACAACATCCTTTAGAGTCCCAGACAGATAAGTCTGCAGGTGTTAGATCAGGAAAATATATTGTACTACAGTAAACAGTGTTATTGCAATTGGATAAATCTATGGGAGGCAATTTTTTTTCCTTTCGGATGTGTATTTTTTTTTTTTTTTTTTTTGCAGACTCTGTATGTATGTATGTATGTATGTGTGTGTATATATATATATATATATATATATATATATATATATATATATTAGCTTTTCTTTTTAATTTTTAGAAAGTATTCATTTAATTTTTACATTTTTTAAAATATCCATATCCATATCCATAGTTATTGGAATATACCCTATATGGGCATGTGGCCAAGTGGTTTAATTTCTTAATTTTAATATAGCTACTACTAACCACATACCATGGAACTCTTTATAATATTGGATGAGTTCATAGTCACCAGAGGTATACTCTATACTCCACAACAAAAGGATTACTCAAAAATTCTTTGCTTTACCAAAATGGGATTATAAGAATATTCTGATACTTTGATATTTGGTCAGATTCTGGTAGGTGGGTAAGTCTGAGAACTTTTTGTTTCACCCTTGTATATTCTGTGACCTTTTTAAATAAGCAATATAAATTCAAAAGCATTTTCTGATGAGATTTTAACTCCCATCTTGTATCCTTGGGTGCCTGTCATAGCAGAATAGTACCATACTGATTAGGCTATGAAAGCTAATCACCATCATAGTAAGGGTTTAGGAATTCTTTAAGTGCATAGTCTATTCAGGATGTGAGCATGAATGGCTCTTCACAACTTCCTGTCTCTTGATGTCCTTAGCAACATTTAATTCTTTACTGTCCCTCTTTGTCCCTACCCTTTCATCCATTCACCCAAACCCGTTAGGTAGGTTACTGGCTGTTTCCCTCTGCCCATCCTTGCTTCAATATGTCCTGTGAGTGTTAAATTTTCCTAGCCCTCTTTCCTTGTAATGTGTCCCTTGAAATTTCAGTTGTCTCTTTCTTATTCTTTACATAAATAAATGTTTTCAATTAAATTCAAACAAGCTTTCTTTTTTTTTTTTTTTTAGTTCTTTTTTAGTTTTAGATCTACCTCAATTGACAGGCACCTGAAGAAGGCCTGAGTGCACAATGGTCGAAACATTGTGATGACAACAACAAATATGAGAACAATAGTCTGTAAATAAATAGAATTTATAAAGGTACTTACTTTTCTGGAGTTGGGTACAGACATAAATTTTTAAAAATATCCATATCCATAGTTATTGGAATATACCCTATATGGGTATGTGGCTAAGTGGTTAGCACTTTTACTTTCTGACCATGAGTCCCAGGTTCAAATCTCATCATGATCAACTTATCAAGGAAGTGAATTCTAGAGGTTATCACTACAGGGAGGCAATCTCAGCATATGGCATTGTTGGAAAGTGCATGAAAACCATAGTATGAGCTGACTCAAGCCTTGTTATAATCTATCTGGCCCTGTACTGCTGCTATCTTGCATTTTGTTCCATTAATCTGTCATTTCCTATCTCAGTGCTACCAAAAACATAGTATTCTTGGCATTGTGTTTGATCTTCATGGCCATTGTCTGTCAGCATCAGCAAGCTGGGAGATAACCAGATTTCTATGGGGATTTTGTCTAGTGCTTGTTGAGATTCTGTGGAAATTTCAGGTGTTAATTCCCCACAAATGTGGTAGCATTTTTTTTTTGTCTCTGTTGATGACTAACAATGGGCTTAATAAAAACATTGAAAAATTTAAAAGTGTAATCTTTTCATGTAGCCTGGTTGATTCAGCTGGAGAATTATTCTAGCAGTAATTTGTGATAATTTGAGAGACCTCGGTCTTAGCACTATCTATCTTGTCTCTGAGATTGTTAGTAGCAGTAGCAATAGAAAGTGCAGAGGTAGACTGACTTTGCTTATCTTGTCATCTCTCTCTCTCTCTCTCTCTCTCTCTCTCTCTCTGGACTCTGTATGTCCTTGCTTTCTTCTGGCATTGATTTATTTCATGTTCAACGATAAGATATTCACAATCTGTCTTTGTCTAAAAACAGATGGATTTTTGTGGAATGCAGTCAGGCCAAACTTCTGATGTTGAATTTCTGGTAACAATATAAATGTTTGTGGGGGTTTGATAGTGTTTTAAATAAACATAGGAAGAACACTTCTTTGGCACTTCGGAAATTTTAGAAGAGCATAAATCTTTTTATACTGCCCCAGAGACAACAGGGTAGGTTGGGGAAGATCCAGTCTAACTAATTCTTAAGGAATTCTACTAGATTTATTTCTGGTTCAACTCTTACTAAAGCCTTCACCAAACTCGTTTTATAGCTCCTAATTATTATTTTTAATCTGTTCTTTCTTTCTTTCCTTATTCTCCTAAATGCTTAATTAGTTTCCCTGAGTATTTTTTCACAGTTTAAACAATTGTTTCCTGCTTCAAATCCTCATTAAACATTCTTGTACATTAAATGTTTAACCAGGGTTATGACCCCGTTCTATTCCTTCATGCAGTTCATTGAACCAGGGATACCACCCCGTTATATCTATCATGCAGAAAAATATTGAACAAGGTTTACCACACAGTCATATTGAGTGAAATTGGAGAAGTGGAGCAGTTTTCATTTCATCAATGTTTGTACTGGCATGAAGCCACAAGTCATCATGACTGAGGGTTTGAGTGTACTGGCTTTATTCAAACTGTTGATCTTGCCAGATTTTGCACTTTCTCTCTGAAACTGTAGCTAAGATTTGATTTGTGGATGTTGAATAAACATGAATATGCTTGAGCAGGTGTCTGCTACGGGGATTAGCTAGTTGCTGTTGCAGATGTCCATTATTGTTTATATGTAAATGTTGCTAGGATTTGTAATCTAAAAACATATTCATTGAGGTTTTGTGTGCATGTATATTCTTGTTTAAAATGCATCAATCAAGGCTGGTAAAATCCAATTCTGACTTTTTTTCTAATTTGCATCTTTGTGACTTGGATTTAAATAAATTAAAATCATGAATGAGATTTTCGCATTTGTGGATATCATCTTTTAAGAAAATGGAATAATGTTTATTTGTAATAAAATAATTGTAATAATAAACAGTATATTAACCCAGAGTATTTGGCTAAAAAGCAACAATAATAAGATGGAGCGTATTGGCCTAGAAAATGGTTGTTAGAATATTTGCTTTATGACCATGAGAACCATGTTCAAATCTCATCATTGTCAATTTTTTAGGAAGGTGACTTCTTGATGCTATTGGCCTAAGGGAGGTGATTCTCCAGCATGTGGTACTGTTAGAAAGTGTCTGAAAATCATGCCACAGGTTGACCCAAGCCTTGTAAGTGAAATTAGGGAGATGGAATTGTTTGTTAATGGTTGTGTGAGAATGAAGTGACAAGTCATCATGACCGAGGCTTTGAGTGAACAGGCTTTGTTTAAACTGTTGTTCACACCTGATGTTGTGCTCTCTCCCAAACTCTGTCACTAAAGGTCTACTTAGCATAAACCACAGGTGGGCTCTGTAGGTGCTGAACAAAATACAAATGTGCCTAAGCAGGCATCTGCAACAGGGATTGTCTAGCCGCCCTAGCAGACAGACATATTTGAAAATGAGTGGCCAGTGCTTATTGACATAGATCACTGTGATAAAAAGCAAAAAGATTTTATTGACAAAAAGGCCACTTTTAATGTTTTCTCCTATTGTTTTTTAAGCTTAAAAATTCAAGTTAGGCAAACTTGGACCTTTGTGCCTGCAAAAAAAACCCTCAAAAAACCGTTTTTTTTTTCATTGACATTAACTAACTTCACTCCTCAATAATGGTTATTTTCCTTCACAATGTAATTGATGATTAGAATTGAAATAAAACCTAAAACATATGAAAGTGAGTTTATACATTTTCTTTCTTCTTGAGAATTAACATAAAAAATGATAAACACTATTTATTAGATTGATTATTTACTATTTACTTATTAGATAGTTTATTGGTTAGCAAGACATTGGCTAATTTCCAATTGATTCAAACTTTATAAAATGGTAAATAAGGATTTCCTTATAGTTGGTTCACATATTTTAATATTTAGTATTAAAAATAATAAAGTATTGTTTTTGTATTTATTTCTTTAGAAATTGGTAAATGATAAATATATAACTGCATTAGTTTTAATATAGTTGTGTTAGTTTTATTATTTATTTTTTTTTTTTTTTTTTAAGAATGTTGTAAATATAAAATTACAGAAGGTCCCAGGATTACGTCTGACCTGACATACAGCGTTTTGTGGTTACGGTGCCATCTCTCATAATATAATACATTGTGATAGGGTGTTATATGAGGAAGATGGTGTTGTTTCTTCACCGACTGTATGCCATATTGGATTGTGCTACATTCACTCTCTCTCTCTCTCATTTGTGTCATTTTTGCGAGAACTTTTTGCCCTTCATTATGGCTCCCAAGTGTAAAGCAGACTTGTGGGTGCTTATGTATTTGAGTTCCAAATTACGTTGAAAATCAGGTTATGTCATACCATAGAAACGGATCTTCAACATGTGTTGGGGACCCCCTATATTCTTGTAAATAAACAATCTAATAAATAAGTTGGTTGGTTTTGTTTAGCAGCATATTCTGTGGGTTATTCTAATGCCAAAATTTAAACATTCACAGTTTAAGTTTACAATGGTTTAGTGATTCAAGTCTTACTAATTAACCCATAACTGGAGGGAGAAGTGAATTTATACTTTACCCATGTGTATTTGTGCATAAGTGAATATAACGAACCCAATTGGAACTTGGCTCTCTGATTAAAATTTTTGATCCATTATCCATTACACCACCTGCAAATCTATGCTTACAGCACCAGGTATTCCCAAGCGGTCACTCATCTAGTATTGATGAGGCTTGGGGTTGCTTAACTTTGGTGACCGTATGGGAACTGGTGTTTTAATGTGATGTGGCTGTAAGCCTCAATCTAATAAATAAATAAATAATTAATATTTAATATTTTTGTTGCAAATTCTCAAGAACAAAAAAATGTATAAATTTACTTTCATATGTTTAGGTTTTATTACAGTTCTACTCATCGCTTTTTAAAACAAACGTTGCTGAGGAGTGAAGGTAGTTAAAATAATAGTGGTGTCAAAGAAAAAAAACTGTCCTTTTGGCACTCTGTTTTTTGTGGTCGTGAAGGTCCAGGTTTGCCCCAAGTCATTATTATTATATAACAATACTTTGATATTGGAAAAGAAAACTGTTTCTTTGCCAATTCTGACAAAGTGCTATTTTACTTTGTGATTTATAATTTATAAACGCAACATTAATTAAAGTGGGGAAAACAATGAACGATTGTCAGCAAAAAGTTTAAGAGAAACTCTATACATTGAAATATTGGTATCTGTTTTGCATATTGTACAGAACATTTGAATATATTAAGATTTCATTTCAAATGAAATTAATTTCTACAAAATCACTTCAGTGAAGGTAAAATTTCTCTTCTTTTTTTTATGCAAAGCCCAACAGCCACTCAAGGTAGAGGGTTACTGAAGGTGTTCATTGTTGCATGAGCTGTAAGAGTAAAAGGCGCAGTTTATGTGGATATGATGGAAGAATAACAGTTAACCCTAGACTTGAAGACTCGTCATGGTTGGGAAAACATCATCCTGGGCTTCTGTTCCTACAAAGCAATAATTCTTGGGAAGAAACTATCCAAGTAAAACTTACTCCTTACTAATGGAATACGAAGCAAATGGGGGTGTTTCGTCTCAATGTACATGATGTGGTGAGTTTTAGCTGGGAGGGATTAGGTTGGGGGAACTAAGAAATGTAACTTGTTTGAATATTTTCCATGGAAGGAGCGAGAGACTTGCAACATTTCATCAGTGGGTAAAAGGGTTGTAAGGTGGAAAACAATCACCCATAAGGCCGTGTAGATGCTTTTGGATGCTATTCAAGATTGGAAAGTGAAAACTGGGTAGCGCCTGCCCATAGCAGGTGTAACAGCAAAATTGTCCAAATCCTGTTACAGCATAATTGTCCATACCACGAAATGTTTAATATCTAAAAAAAAACTAATTGAGTTTCTTTTTTCCAGCTTTTCAAATAAGCCGTTTAGCCATCTTGATACCATTTGTCATAAGAATCACTAAAAATCCCTTTGAGTTATTCAGCTAAAAAAAGAACGAGGTTAAAATCATTTTGTGTTGGCCTCGCTGTCTTCCCATCTTGAATAAGCTGGAAAATGATCCTGGAATAATATATATATTTGAACTTTATTTCAATCCTTCATGAGCTTCTGATCCTTAGCTATGATTAATTAATGATGAACATGTCATTTTCATTTATCATCGATTTCATCACAATTCTTCTGTTAAGTTTGGAGAGTAATTATACATTCTTATTGCTCAAAGTAGAGTTCAATAGTGCTATAAAAACCTTGGAGAATTCCAGTAAGATATCTTTAATCATTTCTAAGATACAACAGTTCAAAGCTTAATCTAACAAATGGACAATTTTGCTTTTAAACGATTTAGACAATTTTGCTGTTACACCCGGTGTATGGCAGCAGTACTTCATTTTTGTCTTAATCTGGCTCTTGTAAAGGCAGATCATAGAAGCAGGAGCTAGGTACTTACTGGAGTGGTACAAGGAATCCAACTGTGCTTCCAGCATGTTTAGTGACGGATCATATATACAAGTTCCACTTCAGATCTGGTGAGCTTAAGTCCCAAGTGGCATTCAAGGCAATGAGGCCTCCTTGAGAGAACACCTGTTCATTGTGATACAGAAATTCAGCATCTTCTTAGTGATGATGGAACATTATAAGTTAGTTTTTTGAGGTACTGAATGTGACTAGCGAGTTTTTCTCTTGCTGAGCTGTTAGAGCTAGATCAGAGGAGAGATCAGCTGCCAGGTTCTGGTCATCTTGATCTTGAGGCGTGCACCCATATACCATTGCATCATCTGCATATATATTACCAAGAGATTGAAGGATGTTCTTGGGGTAGATCATCATACTTATTATAAAACCCAGGTTGTGTGTGTGTGTCTGTTCGTTTATATACTGGATCGGATTTCCTACATTTTTCAACTGATTTCAACAAAACTTCACAGGACTACGTAAAATTACCTTGTGGTGGTTCTGACAGTGCCAAAAATTGGAAAAACACAATTGTTTTTGCATGAAATCAATTTGAAAACACGATTAAGAGGCATCACGTTTGCAGAATGAAAGGGGGGACAACTCATATCGAGTTATACTTATTATAAAACCCAAGTTGTTTGTATGTGTGTGCATGTTCGTTTATATATGGGATCGGATTTCCTTCATTTTTCAACTGATTTCAACAAAACTTCACTTTTTTTGGCAGGTAGTGTTTCTTATTGTCCTTCACACTTTATTTTTCTTTATTTTTACATTCAAAATGCTTTAAAAATTCCATTTACAAGGCAATTGTTTATAATAAAATTCTATTCAATCAATAGACTCATAACGATTGAAAACAATGTTTTTCTTTGAGTTTGGGTTTGACCAATTCGTTAAAAAAACCCCAAAAAACAAAAAAAAATAATTAAGACATGCATGTCCGTCAACCTTAAACAATAATCTTTGTCAATTTTATTTTTCAGTCTTTATGATGGTCGATACTTCATCTATCTGTTACTGTTACATCCCCGGGCAATGCCGGGCTCTACTGCTAGTCATTTAATATAATATAAATCAGGAGTTGGACCAAGAAGTGAACCATGGGAGGTGCCTACATTGATCTCATGGGACTTGGTAGTTGTTAATTACTAGTCCTCCTTCATATTAGGAAGGACTTGCTGAAAACTCAACCAGTGATTCTATTAGCTGGAGAGCTAGTGTAGCAACCCCTTATGTTGCACCTTCTTAAAGGCCTTCTATGTTATATAAGGAATTATATTTAATGCATATAAAATTCTTCCCTTCTTTTATATTTAATATTTCAGTATTAGGGAGCTAGCTTATCAGATACCATAATTAACATTTAAGTCCCAATAAATATGTTTTAAGCCATTTTATGTTGGGGAGGAAAAGGTGCCAGCATACAATGCAACTCTTGCCCAAGCTTTCTGTCAACTGGCCAATGATTATCCCATGTTACATTTCGATTCACGACCATATCAATGTGTACCAAAAACTGGGAAAGGGCCTGCTGCATGCTCACAAGATAACGAGGATGAAAGACAAATTCGATGTTGTGTAATGATAACACCAACCATTTCCCATATTATAAAATGGGCATTTTTATTCAGGGGTTTGCTTGTTTGTATAGGTGAGTAGATAGTTGACACTTGGGACAACTTCTGCTACATCAGATGTTTTCCCTATCAACTCCTCATCTACATATCACGATGTGTGGCTGGCGATATGAATGGATGGCATTGGCGACAGACATGTCAGTCTCTTGCCATGGGTGAACCAGTACTGACTCTGATCCCAAACATGACTGTTAATATATACCAGCACTTTGATACACCCTATTTCTGGTTTTGTTATCACTTGATCTCCAAAAAAATCCCTTGTTCACTCCTTTATTTCCCTGTTCCCCTTCGGTCAAAGTGTATGCCTCTTAGAAAACTAGATTTCTAAAGGAACCACCTGCTGGCTATAAAACAGAAACACTTGAACTTGCGATAAAAACCACATCTTTTTTTTCTATGTGGCTGTCCATTATCTCACAAAGGCATAGGAGGCAATTTTATACAACATCAAATATGGTAATCTTTTTATATTTCTGCTTTTTCTCAAATTGTGAAATATCACTCTAATTTGGTTAGTAGATTGCTTACAATATGCCAACTCTTTTTATTCAATGTCAGTTTTTTTGTATGGGGCACTCAGTGAGGATTGAACTCACTACACAGTAATAGTCAACTAGACTCTCACTAACCATTGCAACACATCAAGGCATATTCCTCTTAGATTTTCACATAAGAGCCTTTAAATATATTTTTCCAATCATTAATAGGATTTCAGTTTATTACTTAATTACAATACAAAAGAGATCCCCAATTTTATGCCCACTAGAAGCTTATAATAATTTTTTTGATTGTTAATTTGGATGTGTGGGTGGTGTAATGGCTAGCAGCTTAGAATGAGAAATTGGATTTCCGAGTTCGAATTCCAGTCAAATATTTTTTTTATTCACTTGCACACAAATACCTTTGAGAAAGATATAATTCCATCTCTTCTCCCCCCTCCCCAGCTATTGCCCATAGGGTCTGGTTTGTCTTGCCGGTCCATATAGCCTTGGTTGGCAAGTAGTCTAGAAGGAAATTCCAATCAGTTTGGAGAGGATTGGACTCTGTCAGGCTATCTTGCCCTAGACACATCACCTATTACAGCTGCAGTACACGTGGTAGCACCATGACCCTAAGGGATTACAAGACTTTTTGATTGTTAGGTTGTTTGATTTTTATGAAATGTCAACTCTTGTTTGGTTATTTAATGTTGAATTTTGTATGGGGGCACACAGTTGTGGCACCTTGCATTATTAGAAAAAAGAAATATTCATAGAAATATGATTTAATTTTTTTTATTCGGTTTATTAACCAGTTGTTAGTTTTTTAGACGAAGAATAATTGAGTTTTGAGAATAATTCTCTAATTGTATTAGGCGATCCTAAGGGAAGAAAAAAAAAGAAGGGAAAAAGAAAAAGAAGAAAAGAAAGAGAATGAGTAATGCAAAAGGCCGGTCATTAGCGAAAACAGGTGTCAAAAAGGTATCTAGGCCAGCGTGTTTGACCGAATTTCGGAAGACAATGGGAATTGTTATTTAGAATGAAAAGTCATTAAAAGAGAGAAAGAAAACAGGCTTGGTAAAAGTGTATGAACATATATGCGATTGATAAAAATGTCGGTCGAAGCATCTGGCCTACTTTTGTGTAGAAGACTCATTATCAATTTGGAGAAATGGGATTTTTTAGAA